GGGGAGCTGCTTCGACCCTGCCGATCTGAAACTAAGAGGGATACAACATTCTAGCAGGCAGACGGCGATACTTGATAAAAAAAAACTTCCCCTTACAGAAATTGAACTCATGTCATCTGCAGGCAATGATAAAGCATCTAACCACTACACCACAGACACCTGTTTGACAAGATGAGATAACAAAGTGTAGGAAAGACCAAATTTAATTCAACACCAAAAAATTAATATAATATAAGGCCAAGAATATAAGGAAAGCTAAGTAATGTAAAAAATATTAAGGGCAGGAGCGACCCTTGATTTTGCAGATTTTGGGTCAGGCTATGCAAATTGAGATGTTGGTTGATTTTTAAAGATCAACCAGTTCTTTGTCTAAAAATAGCATGGAAACAATTGAGAAAGTCTTTATTCCCCTCATAAATTGCCTTTGAAAACAAGAGGGTGGCTTAATACAGTCAATTTTCACAATAATTGTAGTTTTTTGCAAAATGTTACTTTTTGCTGTTTTTTCCCTACTCCTTCCTTAGTTTTCATCCTTTTGACATGGAACTTTCAGGAAACATAGATGGCAAGACTGCCATCAATGTAACAGAGAGATATTTGCAAAAAAAAATATAACTTTTCCATTGGCAAGCAATTACGCAACCTAAATCAGAAAAGTTTTTAAAAAATATTTTTTGAAATTTTTTTTTTTTTTTTTTTTTTTTTGGGGGGGGGGGGGGTTCTTTTGCACTTATTGAAAAAAAAAACTCTCTGATACGCTGATAGGGTCTGGTTCAGGTATACTCTCACCAAATTTGGTCCAACTTGATCAGTAAATAAGAAAGCCTCAGGGATTTGAAATTCATTGTTTATTTTCAAGATGGCGGCCGTTTCCATAGCAACCGCAGTAGCTATACCAAAATAAAATAGCGTATCAAGAGATTTCCCTATGCATAACTTCTATTTGTACTTCTTAGATTTGATCTCGGGCAACAAACATAGAAAATGGTCCTCAAGGGTAGCTCCTCTTCTTAAATATTATATATGGAGGGTAAATATGATTTCAACAAAAAAGGGCAAACTTAATCAGAACAAAGACGTCTATGGCTGCTGAAGAGGTTTAAGAGGTGTTTTGCTATAAATAAAAGCAATTCATCTGATACAGCTTAGAGTCATAATGTGAATAAGGGACTTGTTCGCCCTTCAAACATCAAAGTTTGCTTAAAATAAGAGTTGTCAGTGAGCGCATGAAATATGTGACCTTCTGATGGTCATTTCCAAATGACTAGAATGAGGACAATGACAACCTGCAAAAGATATTATTATTTTTGTTAATAGATCAAAGTCCAAACAGTGGCATCGGTAGCCTAGTGGTTAGGCTACCGTACTCGTAATCGTGAGATTGCCGATTCGGGGGCTCAAGCCTCAGCTTGGTCCGACGTTGTGTCCTTGGGAAAGGCACTTTACACGAATTTCCCACTTGGCTCGGTCCTATTGGAGACGGACGTTAAACTAGGAGGTCCCGCCCCTTAAATAACCTAATAGTGTTGATAGGGGCGTTAAACCCATACCATTTTTAAAGTCCAAACAGATCATTCAATGCAGCAAAACTTTTCTCTTTCTTAATAACTGTCCAAGCCTTAGCACCTGTAGCTTTAACCATGGTAAAAGAATGTGCATCAGGAATAAGTCACATTCCTCCTGCTACTACTACTTTTATTATCATTACAATGATAATAATAATAATAATAATAATAATAATAATAATAATAATAATAATAATAATAATAATAATAGAAATAAGTATAATAAATTGTATTTACATAGCACATCCTCGTCTACAATATGCTCGATGCACTTCATAACTGTTATTACCAAAGCAGACCCTAGAACACAACTTAGAAATATTCTTGGCTTCCCAGGAAGCATACAGTGCAAGCTACAGAAAATAAAAACTGAGAAGATCTTTCACTGTCTATAGCTGGGTACCCATTCCCATCAAGGGAGGGAAATTTGTGTAAATTGTCTTTACCAAGGACACAACATTGAACCCCTGATGGGATTCGAACCCACGGCCTTACAGTTTTGCTTTCAAGTGACTTGGGAAACATAATCAAAGAAAGTACTTACGATTATGTACGATCTTTGACAAAATACAAGTATTATGATTTTTATTTTATTTTATTTGGGGGGGGGGGGGGGGAGGAGGGTGTTAACGCACTTGGGAAAGCAGGGGTGATTATTACTTTCAAAATCTAAAACCATGTATGTATGTATGTATGTATGTATGTATGTATATATATATATGTATGTGTATATAATATTTCTA